CACCAATGGACAAATACTGAAAACAAAGCTCTGGTGGATTGTCTTGTTGATCTCTGTCATGACCCTTGCTGGAAAGGGGAAAATGGCTTCAAAACTGGATACTTGGGTCATTTAGAAAGGATGATAAAACTGAAACTTCCTGGAACCGATATTAGGGCTAATCCTCATATAGAGTCTAGAACAAAGCTGTTGAAAAAACAATATCATGCCATTTCTGAAATGCTAAATCATACAAGTGGCTTTGGTTGGAATGAAGATGACCACTGTGTGACATGTACCAAGGATGTCTTTGATGACTGGGTTCGAGTTGAGTATTTATACCTTTTCTAAAATTGTTTAAACCTTATAATATAAGGTCAATTGTGTAATAGTTATTTACCATACCGTCGCAATTTTTTGTGTCCTTTCTATGTGCAGAGTCATCCAAGTGCTCTTGGTTTAAGGAACAAACCTTTTCCACACTATGATGAACTAGTTGAGGTCTTTGGAAAAGATCGAGCTACTGGAGTAGGAGCCGAGACTGCAGCTGATGCGATTGAAGAGCTTGATGAAGTTGGCGAAGAAACTGATTTTCAAGATGGTGAAGTGGGAGATGATGAAACTGGTTTTGGAAGTGCATATGGTGAAGATCAAATGAATAATATAGGGGCAAGTACAGATGCTGCATCTGCTAGCCAATCAACAAGCAAGACATCAAACAAGAAAGCTGGAATTGTGACTAGCAAAAAGAGGAAAGTGCAGGATGATGGTTTAACTAACTTGGTTGCTGAAATAGGAAAGTTTGCATCTTCTTACCAGGAGAACACCGAGTGCCTCAAAAGTATTTCTTCCTTCTTTAGTAAAGAAGCTGCTGAGAGTGACAGAAAGTTGATGATTTTTGAGGAGATCATTAAATTGGATGCTTTCTCAAAAGAAGAAGTGATGGATGCAGGTGAGCACATATTGAAAGATGCTCATAAGCTTGACACCTTTTATGCTCTCCCTGTGGCATTTAGGAAGGATTATGTCCTAAAGCAATTGGGAGATTTGGCTCCATATCAACCCACGTTTGACTTCTAAAATCCTTCTAAATGGGTTTATTTTGAATTGTAATATAAAGAAACAGTGATGATGATAGCTCTAAATTTAGTTTTGCTAGTATATATTGATCATCCAGGGAGTAAATACAAATGCCTTCTGTGCAATTGTATTATTGTCTTTTTTGCTACTAATATGTAACTTGTAAGTTGCAACATTCACTTGTTTTTTTTGCTACTGAAGTGGAATGTATGAATAACTCTTATTAGCCCATGATGGAGGCTATTAATGTTGGTATATAATGTTGATATAATGTTGTTGTGACAGTATTGATGTTGCTGTATAATCCACATACATGTTGTGGCAGTATGTTGTATACAATGATACAAAACACAGACCTTTGAGAAAGCAAGCTCTTTTCCAAGTGTCTATGACAAGTGAAGTCCCTCTGTTTAAATTTGCAGTGGAGAATGAAGGAGGTGAGATTTTAACATACATTATATGGCATCGTCTGGTGAGAAAACTAGGAAGAAACCTGGGATCTGTTTCGTTTTCTTTTAATTAAAAAGATGAAGTCTTTTTCCAAATCTTTTCTGCATTTCTATGGGTATCTTAGCTTGAACTCTATTTTCTCTGTGTTGTTTCATGGAGTTAATAATTCTATTTTATATGGTGTTATAAAAATTGGTTTTGTTTACAGTGTTCACTGCCTGTTTTGCACACATTTCGTTGTTGAATTGTTTTGGTGGATGGAATTGAATTGTCTTGAACTGTTAAATTGCATAGAATTAAATGAAACTATGACATTTTGCTTATAATTATTTACTAATGTTTACTAATCTTAGTCATTTTTGCAATTAAACATACTTTGCTTCAAATTAATCCAATTAGTTTTTATTTTAATTATTATTAATATGTTTTATTTTTCTATAATTTTAATTACTTTAATTTGTAGGATGTAATAAGTTTAATATGTTAAGGGCCAAATATTTAAAGGGCATTTAAGTAATTCACTCAATATGCCATATAAGATATCATTCAACCAAACAACTTAATGTCACATTCCCTTAATCGTAACCAAACACAAATGAGTTACACATTAATCACATTCCCATCTATCTAAGATACCCGGTAATCTAACATTCCCGTGTCAATCTGAGATCTCTTGAACCAAACGTACCCTTAGTATTTATCTGTCAGGTTCCATAACACCATCAAAATAACTGGGCGCACCCAATTTTTGTCAACACTGGACAATTTTGCCCTTGGTCATACTTCACGTCACTTCTAATGCATGTGCTAGGCGCACCACTGCGTAAAACCCCCTTCATTATTGATATTTAATTTTCTAATTTTAAAATCTTGTAGGATCACAGCTCACCACTCACAAGAACCAAGCCTAACAATTTGACATTTACCCTCCTCCAATAATTTGTTGCCATGTGGCCAATTTTCTTTTTATAAAATGTTATAACTTTTCCAATTTCGCTGCTACTTTTATAAAAATTATATCAAATTAAATAAATTTTTATGATCTTACACCAATATCATATATGTAAAAAAAACATTTGGTCAAGTCTGTTGAACGGCCGATTAATGTATATTTACTACATAGTAATTTTTAAATCTAGTCTACTTTGATCTGATCTAATTTGTTGAATTTATCTGGATCGAAATCAGTTCAATTAAAAGCATTCTACTCCGTAAGTATCATTCACGTCTTAAATCTAGTTTTTTTTATGAAAACGTCTTAAATCTAGTTATTAAAAATTAAACTCCGTAACATATATGGTCGTAATTCAAAAAATTAATAATACTTATTTAAATTAAAAACTTTGGATAAATAAAAACATATTAAACTAACATTCTAAATTATATATAGGTGTCGTTAATTTATATAAATTAAAGACAATTGCAATTTGAAGTGTACTTATTAGTCTGACAGAAATTTATTTGTTGGGTGACATTAATTTATTGTTATGCCATCAATAATCTTATTGTCTAATATGATATAATCTTATCTTATTTGTTTGATTTAAGTTTGGTCTAGTCTAATCAGAACTAGTCTGCCCTGTTAGATGTTTGTTTATGTGGGGTGCGCGTGTTCTTTTGTATCTGTGTTATACAACTATCGAATTTTGTTTTGGTCTGATGTGAGATCGAAAATATTTAAACTAAAAACATTCTAGACACTATCATATCATATTTAGATGATAATAGATATAGACAATAGTATATTCAATATAAAGATGAATGAAAAAGTATATATGTGATCATCAAAATATTAACGAATATTGTTTACGACAAACTTAATGAAACTCTGTAAAAAAAACTTAATGAAACACATCAAAAGGAAGATCTGAGATACAGATAATGGGGCAGATGAATACCGCATAAGTCTAAATCAATAGTAATATTTTTTTAGATATTTTTCAGATTTATTCTCCATTGTATAAGAAGATTGTAAGAATTTATAAAAACTATTAATAATGAGTTTCAAATATTTATTTAGTAGTTGTTTGATGATAGTTAAAAAATTTAATCTTATTTATATTAATAATAATTATATTAGGACCTTGAGTGTATTTGAAAGATAGTCACCCTTGTGTTTTAGGGAACATTAGAACTTATTTTATTTTTAAAAACAATAAGACCCATTAAAATTAAAAATCAATTAATTTAGTATTATATTACCATCTTTGAATTGAATTAAGAATACGAACAATTGTTTATGCATTTCATTGATACTCCTCCGTGTACAATTATGCATATTTAATGGGTTTTTGTCGTTTTGAGGGGTGCGCTTAGCAAAATCATGGCACAAATTGGTAGAGGATCAATTACTATACCGAATGGGAAGGGTAAGATCGTCTAGCTAAAGGTGTGCGTAGCAATTCAAGGGGTGCGCGTAGCATCACCCTTCTTCAATTCTATGAGAACTGAGAAGTATTACTTAAACGTACTTTAGACACAATTTAAAAGAGATGTCAAGATTAAAAGTTTGCAAATTGCAAATCCAAAATTATAACAAGCTGGCCGGCCAATTCATTTAATTTGGAGAGATGAGGAAACATTATTCCCACATCATGATTATGGAATGTTACATTCAGACATGTTAATTCCCGCATGCGAACTAAACTAGCTTTAAACAAAATCATTATGTGTCCATGAAATAATATTTCGTTACCAGCTTGTTCCGATTAATCATATGGAAAGCATTTGGTCAGCTCTTGAGAGGTCAACAACTACATGTTCCATTCTTATGGCCGGCCTAAAAGATGGCATTTTGAATATTAATTTCCATAAAACAACTATACGAACCTTTGAGCATTTCGGTGGGAATGTGGGATGTAATCAATTAAATTTGTAATAATTTAAAAAAGTACTTTAAAGTTTGGTTGTATTCAATATTATTTTAAATAAATTATACCTTAAATAGGAGTGAAAACAACACATATTCTAAAACAGGTGTACTGTGTTTTTTCCCTACATAATTTTTTTTAGTAATCAAAGAATTACAACATAAAAATAATTTGTGTTTAGAACTAACTAATTAATAAGATTGTTAAACAAAGTAGTAAAGGCGGCGGAATGACTACAAATATATGAACAACAATTGCTTTCTGTTAAGATATTGTAAATATCATGAAAATCAATGATATCTTTATTTTAGGGTCTAATATATGGATATGTTAGACCCATGTGTATGTGTGTTTTGTGTATAAGCGATCCATCTGGTATAAACCGTGCTTATTGTGCAAACGTTTGGACGATGCATATTTACTCTATATTTATATTACATATTCAGGTTCCAAGAGTTGCATATTAACGTTCAAATAATTGTATTTGAAAAAAGTTTGATTTTATTATCAAAATATCATTGTGCAATTCCAGTTTTGGATCAATTCAACGGATGACCACGATACATTTTAGTTTGAAATAAATGGAAGTTGAAGAAGTATGAGTGTATGACACAATATAAAGAAACATACTATCGTATATGGGATTTGCTTTTTCCACCACCACTACACCTTCCACAGTAAATGACTCTTTACTCTAAGTTGCACCACTCCTAATTAATCCTAAACTTTCCCCTTTATCCCACAGTAAATGACTCTTTACTCTAAGTTGCACCACTCCTAATTAATCCTAAACTTTCCCCTTTATCCCACAGTAAATGACTCTTTACTCTAAGTTGCACCACTCCTAATTAATCCTAAACTTTCCCCTTTATCCCAAACCTCAAAGCCTGCTATGCATACAAAGCAATCTTGTCCCTTAGAATTCAAATGTACGACCTGGAGTAATAGATACTACAACTTAGGAAAATGCCCTCTCTACTTCTTTCACTAACTCTACTACTACTTTTTTCCTTTGCTTCCACAAAATGTCAACCCATAAGATCATCCCCCCGCCTGCTTGATCTTCTCATCAGGGACTACACCTTCCAGTCCTACCACCACAGGCCCTTCAAAACCGGGAAACTCCGCCCTATACGCCTCCCCGCTAACTTCACAGATATTGTCGTTAACTCTGTCCGCTTTCGATGCGGCAGCCTCGGAAGGTACGGCGCCCACGTGAAGGAATTCCGAATCTCTCCTGGTTCCACGTTCCAGCATTGCTCAAAGCGGCTGCTCTTAGTGACACAAAGGCTTGGATCCAAATGGTCAAACATGTACTATGACAACTTTGACTTATCAGGGTATACCCTCATTTCTCCTATTTTAGGATTGCTAGCGTACAACGCGACCGACGACAACGATAACGTTAACAATAACGATAACCCTCGTACACCGTTTGAGGTCGAAATTATTCAAATGGTGCATGAGCAACAACCGATCACCATTGACTTCAGTTACACACCGTTGACTGGATCGTCTCCCGAAACCATACCCTTGTGCGCGATCTTCGGGCACGGTGGTAAGGTGAAGTTAGAGAATATGGTTTCGGGAGACCACGGTCGCGTATGCGTGGCTCAACAAATGGGTCATTTTGGGCTCGTGATCGAGTCGCAGTTGATGCCATTGAAGGATAAGAAGGTGAGGAGATGGAGGATGGTGATTGGGAGCTCTATTGGGGTTGCATTAGGTGCTTTCCTTATCGGGTTGCTTCTTGTAGCCATTTTCGTGAAGGCGAAAAACAAGGCCAGAAAAGAGGAGTTGGTAAGGAGGGCTTATGAAGAGGAAGCTTTGCAGGTTTCCATGGTTGGACTTGGGCATGTTAGAGCTCAAAGTGCAACTGATCGACATTATTAGAACTATTACAACGTAACACAATTTGAGCAGGAGTTTATCTGTGGTAGTTCATCAGCTTCTCGATTCTTGAATTTCCCTTAACTTATTGTTTTCCCTGTCTTTGATCTACCACTATATTTTTTATTGTATGATAGTTTTTTTTAGGAATATGTTTCCAGGATGAAATTTTGGTAGCTATTTTTTCACACAAGTTACGTTACAGATACAACAAAAGGTGAAAAACCGAGTTAAATATTACAATTTTTAAAATATATTTACAATATCGAGGATTTGAAGGGGAGGCAGCCAGCATTGCAGCAGGAAGATCTGAAGCCTCTGCGTTGCTTTAGAGAATTAGAGCAAGGCACGTTCTCTGGCTTTTGAATACCGTCCGATCAAAACTTCAACGGCAAAAGATTTCGAGTTCTAGATTTCGAGGCATTATTTTTTATCCGACCATTCCCTTGTCAAAAGGCACTCTGCCGTGCAGCAAAGGATTCCAATCCCCCAGGCTATCCGCAACCCTGAAGGTCAAAACTTAAATTTAACACATTGACTCCTTAAAACACTCCATCCCATGTATTTGGAGGAGCCAAATGGGTAGAATGGCACCGAGGGTAGGGGGATTTGGCACCCATATTCACGCCCTTTGCCAGAAGAAAGAATGGGAAGAGTTGTCGTGATGTGGGGAGATAGTGCAGACCCCAACAACAACAAAATCTCTTTTTTAGTAAAAGTGTTTTAACTTTATATTTTTACTTATTTTTTTCGAAAACTATATCAAAATTCATAACTTTTTTTATCTTTCATATGACATCAATATCACATATCATATATATAAAGTTAGAGAAGAAAATCAACTATTGGAGATTTTTTTATTAAATTTTTTTCTTAAATATATTCAACTACTAAAATTAAGATCTCGTGATTAATATATTCTTTTTACATCTTTCACTTATTTTTTCCAAAATGGATGTGAATAAAAACAAGAAATAATAAATTCCAAAATTATTTATGCTTACATCGGAATGTTTGACTCTTTTCAATCTTAATTATCTTGAAAAATTATTGATAAAAATGATGCAAAATAATACTCCGTAAAATTAAGATTTTAATTGAATAAATTTTGCAAGATAATATATTGACGGTGATTGGATTGTAGCAAAAATTGAATTAACGGCATGAATACGTACAAAGTAGTGGGAAATTTGATTTATTGACGGATGCAGATTGCGGTTAGCCTGAGAGCATCTTCAATGCTAGAATGTGCACGGTGCACATGTGGCATGAGAAATAGCCACATAAATATTAGCAAATAAATTATCTTCCTCCTTATTTGAATCATTTTATGCAATTTTGGTATGTTTTTCAACTGCAATGTCAACATTCAGAAGGTCTCTTTGACATTGTGGAGAAAAACTTACCAAAATTGTATATAATCATTCAAATAAGGAGAGAAATAATTTATTTACTAATATTTATGTGGTTATCTCGTATGCCACATATGCACCGTACACATTGTAGCATTGGAGATGCTCTGACAGTGCAGGTTGTCACCCATAGGCACCGGGGAGACCCCCTTGTCATTATTCTTATCTTTCAATTACAGAAGGCAAAAAGGCCTCATTATTTTGACAATTAACAGTCTGAGTTCTCAGGAATGTGACATTTTAAATATTGTGGTATCATTTCATTAGCTTTATCCTGGAATAGAAAAATTACGGAGTACGAGATAAAGAGGCCTAAAGTCCATATATATTCATACATTGAGCTTAAATTATGTACTAGGTTATAAATATCCAAAAAAAGATAATGATTATGTGGCTAATAGAAATTATTGCATCTTGAGTTGATCATTTATTTAGCTTATAAATAGAGGCTTTATCTTAATAACACCTTTGAGAATAACTTTACTTTGGTTTCATGATTATAATCTATTCCCCTAAACTTCTATTAACTAGTTTTTCTGAGTTTAAGTCGGTATTACAAAATGTAAGGGGAGGAGGAGGAGGAGGACTAAAAAAAGCACATATGAGATGAGTGGAAATTCTACTAGATTTTTCCCAGCGGGTGAATAGTATACAGAGGTAGTATTATTTTGATATAATTATATTAGATTTAGTAAAAATCACAACATATCATATAAATCTAGAGCAAATGTTATGTTTCAAACGATAAAATTGGAAATATTTAGATTAGACCGGAAACATTTATATCATACTCAAAAAGTGTAGGCAATAAATATGAGATGAGTGGAGTATAAAATGATGCCTGGCAACATTTTGGTCCTCTTGGGTATTGAAGTAATCAATGGGACTTTGGAAGTATGCATTCCTTTGTAAAGGAGTCAATTCTGGCCGGTTTTTAATCGGGATTTGAATCGCTCTCGTGGTTCTGGGTCGGAGTCAAAATTTAGGGGGGGTTTAGGGTCTTAGATGGTGAATCATCCGTATTTTAATCAGGACTAGAGTCGATCAAGCTATTCCAAGTCGGAACAATAATTGGTGGAGGGATTAGGGTCCTAGGTGACCCAAATTAGGGACTTGTGTATCATTAAGCATTTAAGCTAGGTCTTTATTCAATGTTGTTTAGATTTTTATATATTTATTTTTAGGGAAAAGGGTCAAATAGACCCTCGAATTTACATAAAAGGGTCAAATAAACCCTTATAAAAGAGGCTCTCTCCGACCGTCGCCATTTGGGACAGTTCCCGGTGGAATTTTTTGATGAATTATTTTGAGCATCTTATTCATTAAGTCTAGTTTACGGCTTCTTCTCAAAGCACATAATTGGTGCTATGAGTAAACTAGACTTAATGAATAAGATGTCCAAATGAGGACGGCCGGATAGAGCCTCCTATATAAGGGCTTATTTGAATTTTTATGTAAGGTCGAGGGTCTATTTGACCATTTCCCCTTTATTTTTATTATGTGCTTTGAGAAGCAGCTGTAAAGAGTTAGGATCCATTTAAAAGCTAAAGAGGGTAGGGGTATGGGGTTAAAGAATGCAAGAATAAAAATTAAACACCAGATGTCATCATGGTTCCAAGTAGGGATGGACTGGGCCGGTTCAGCCCGGCCCGTTACTGTGCGGGGCCGGGATTGGGGGCTCAAACCAGGGATATTAGGGGCGGGCTACAAGATGCATATATGGTGGACCGGTCCAGCCAGTTCGGGACTGGTCCTAACCTAAATTATTATTATTTTTATTTTTTCGCATTCATTGGCTGCTAGGCGAGTGGGGCTGGGTGGTTTGGGGGTGGGGGTAGGAATAAATCAAAAAACACAATTTGAAAAAAAAAAACAAAAAAAAAAAACTTAGACCCGATTCGGGCCTGGGCCGGTCCTGGTACCAACCCGGGCTGGCACCGGGCCTTCATCCCAAAACTCAGTCCCGCTCAATCTCGGCCCAGGGCCCGGCCTGACCCTGGGCCCGGTCCATGCCTAGTCCCAAGCACTTGTATATAAATGACAGGACCGATAAATCCAAGACTAAAATTAGCCCGGAAAACCAAAATCAGTCCAAGACCGGTCCACCCCTAGATACTAGTAAGTCAAACTCCTGCCTTGAGTACCAGAGTGATGTTGTGAGACAAAGAATGTTTTCTTTTGGACTGGAATGTACTGGTCTGGTCTGAACTGGTCTAGAAAACGTCTGATCTCTGTGTATTTTATAACTACAAAAGTCTGATCTGATCCAGTCTATCTAGATTCTAGGGTTGAATACAATCTAAAAGAAAACATCCAAAGAACCTACTGTGAGAAACCCGATTTTTAATTTTTCGAAACATTTTCTTGTTGTTTCTTGTTGTCTACTCCCTCCGTCCCCTTAAGTTTGGGACGGAGGGGTGTGGTGTGGTTTTTAAGAAAAAGTGGAATTGTGTGGTTGGTATTGAATTGATAAAGTGTAAATAAAGTAAGAATGAATTCTAACCACTCAAATGTTACCAAATATGGTATGGGACAAACTTAGTGGGACGGACGAAAAAGGTAAAACGGGACAAACTTAAGGGGACGGAGGGAGTATTAGATAGTACCAAAACTTTGTACTTATATAACTGTTCATTCCGGTCCTCAACTAAATAGAATCAGTACCTTATTTTAGTTCTGGTACTCCATTCAGTGGTTATGATTCTAAAACCACCCGTTCCCATTTGAAATCGAAACCAAGTCCATTCTTATTAAACGAATAATCATATTATGAATGGAATAGAATAATTATATACATACATCTAATATAATCTGAACTAGGGATGGACACAATTCAATCTGGTCCCGTTTCTGAACCAAGACTGCTCGGTCCAAATCAAATGCTCCGGCCAGGGTGCGAATTGCTTTTTTCCAGGTGGGCTGGTTTCGAGTACCCAGTCCTGGTTCCCGTTAATTCTCTTTAATTTTTAGCCCAGTTTGAAGCCTAAAAAGGGTCAAGACCTAAACCATGACCAGAACTGCTCAGTTTGGTCCCCAAAGCTATAAACCGAAACCCAATTCTGGACTGTCAGACCGGGCCCACCACTAAGAAACGACCTTTCACAAACAGTCATGCTCATGGTCAGGTTAATTTTATCAAGGGTTTTAAATAAGTTACCACATGGATACATCAAAGTTTTAAATAAAAGTGTTGATAAAAGGAGCATTAGCAGCCTAAAACATAAAAAGAACTATCTTCCATCAACTTGTTCCCCTACTCGTCCTGGCTGAAGCCTTGCCATATAGACACTTGCCTTAGCACACATCAGTATCAAATTTCAGGGATAACCCCATACTGAAGAGCTCCTGACACAACAGCTTAGCCCCATAAGGCACATTCACCTTCACAATATCCTCCACGGTCTCACAGAACCTGCAATAGGGACCCCTAATCTTACGGCCACCAAGAACAGGGCGTTGAATCACGTTCGCCATGTTTTTGCACTTCCTGCATATGTGCATCTGGGAAGAATCACTGAGCGTGAAGAGCCGCTCATGCAGATTAGCAGCGGCCCCATGGGCGATGAGGCAGTCTCGTTCCATCTCCCCGAATTTGATCCCTCCAAATCGTTTCCGGTCAGCCACGGGCTGCCTGGTAAGGGGGTGAACTGGCCCGGTGTTACGAAACTTCACTTTATCCTCTGCCATGTGTGTAAGCCGTTGGTAGAATGTTGGGCCCATGAAAACCAAGGAATGGATCAT